GCCTGGCACATAGTAGGTGCTTAATAAATGGAGCTTCTGTTGCTGATCCCCTTGGCATGGTGCCTGGCACTTAGTAGGTGCTTAATAAATGGAGCTTGTTGCTGCTCCCCTTGGCATGGTGCCTGGCACATAGTAGGTGCTTAATGGAGCTTCTGTTGCCACTCCCCTTGGCATGGTGCCTGGCACATAGTAGGTGTTCAGTAGATGCTTTTACTATTTTGTGAAGCCCTTGGCGCTGGCACATAGTAGGTGCCTCATAGAGCTCTGTTGCTGTTCCCCTTGCCACGGTGCCTGGCACATAGGTATTCAACATAGATTATTTTGTTATTCTATGAAGCCCTTAACACAATGGTTGACACATAGTAGGTGCCTAATAATTGGAGCATCTGTTGCTGCTCCCCTTGGCATGGTGCCTGGCACACAGTAGGTACTTAATGGAGCTTCTGTTGCCGCTCCCCTTGGCATGGCGCCTGGCACATAGTAGGTGTTCAATAAACAGATGCTTTTACTATTATTTTGTGAAGCCCTTGGTGCTGGCGCATAGTAGGTGCCTAAGAGATCTGTTGCTGTTGCCCTTGGCACAGTGCCTGGCACATAGTAGGTGTTTGGCATATAGATTATTTTGCTATCATTCTATGAAGTCCTTAGCACAATGCCTGACACATAGTAGGTGCCTGATAATTGGAGCTTCTATGGCTATTCCCCTTGGCATGGTGCCTGGCACAATGTGCCTAACGAATGGAGCTTCTGTTGCCATTCCCCTTGGCATGGTGCCTGGCACATAATAGGTGCCTAGTAAATGGAGCGTCTATTGCCATTCCCCTTAGCATGGTGCTTGGCACATAGTAGGTATTCAGTAAATAGATGCTTTTACTATTTTCTGAAGCCCTTGGTGCTGGCACATAGTAGGTGCCTAATAGAGCTTCTGTTGCCATTCCCCTTGGCACAGTGTCTGGCACATAGTAGGTGCCTAATGGAGCTTCTGTTGCTGTTCCCCTTGGCACAGTGCCTGGCACATAATAAGCACTTAATAAATGGAGCTTCTATTGCTTTTCCCCTATTGGCACATAGATGTTCAATAAATAGATGCTTTACTATTATTTTGTGAAGCCCTTGGTGCTGGCACATAGTAGGTACCTAATAAATGGAGCTTCTGTTGCTGTTCCCCTTGGCATGGTGCCTGGCACATAGATGTTCAACAAATAAATGCTTTTACTATTTTCTGAAGCCCTTGCTGCTGGCACATAGTAGGTGCCTAATAAATGGAGCTCCTGTTGCTATCCCCGTTGGCACAATGCCCAGCACATAGTAGGTGCCTAATAAAAAGGGCTTCTATTGCTATTCCCCCATCCAGTTTCTGGCATGGGGACCGTAGCTGTCCAGTGCCTAAGACCTACTGTGCGCCACGTAGGTGCAGCCTGGTGAGCACAGGGTTCTTGGCCAGCCCTCCCAGCCCCATCCCACCTGCCCGCCCATCCACCCGCCCATCCCACCTTTCGTTGACACCCGCTTCTTTTGGGTTCGACTTCTCTTTGGTTTGGTTCTGTTTTGTTTGTTATCATCTTCTTTTTTATTTTCTCTTTCCCATCTTTTGTTTCCCCGCCCCCCTTTGCTCAGGCTGGAGTGCAGTGACACGATCTTGGCTCACAGCAACCTCTGCTTCCTGGGTTCAAGTTATTCTCCTGCCTCAGCCTTCTGAGTAGCTGGGATTACAGGCTCCCGCCACCACGCCCAGCTAGTTTTTTGTATCTTTAGTAGAGATGGGGTTTCACCATGTTGGCCAGGCTGATTTCGAACTCCTGACCTCGTGATCTACCCACCTCGGCCTCTCAAAGTGCTGGGATTACAGGCGTGAGCCACTGCGCCCGGCCACGATTCTTTTACTACTATTCTATGAAGCCCTTGGCACAATGCTTGACACACAGTATAGGTGCCTGATAAGTGGAACTTCTGTTGCTGTTCCCCTTAGCATGATGCATGGCATGTAGTAGGTACTCAGTAAATAGATGCTCTATTATTTTGTGAAGCCCTTGGTGCTGGCACATAGTAGGTGCCTAATAAATGGAGCTTGTTGCCATTCCCCTTGGCACAGTGCCTGGAACATAGTAGGTAGTTAATAGATGGAGCTTCTGTTGCTGTTCCCTTTGGCATGGTGCACAGCACATAGTAGGTGTTCAGTAAATGTTTTTACTATTTATTTTGTGAAGCCCTTGGTGCTGGCACATAGTAGGTGCCTAATAAATAGAACTTCTGTTGCTCTTCCCCTTGCCACGGTGCCTGGCACATAGGTGTTCGTCATAGATTATTTTGTTATTCTGTGAAGCCCTTAGCACAATGCTTAACACATAGTAGGTGCCTAATAATTGGAGCTTCTGCTGCTCCCCTTGGCATGGTGCCTGGCACATAGTAGGCTGTCTCTTATACACATCTAGATGTGTATTATTTCTCTCTCTCTCTCTCTCTCTCTCTCTCCCCTGTGTTTCTCTCTGTCTCTCTCTCTCCCCCATCCCTCTCCGTCCCTCTCTGCCCTGCCCCCA